AAGAGAGGTAAAAAGATGTGAAGAAAGTTAATGGCACACACAAAAATAGCAAGAAAAGAAAAGCAACATAAACTTATTTTACATTAAAGTTTCTCGAAGAGACCAGTCGCGGTCAGGAATCGCAAAAGGACTTTGTCGCAACTACTAGGTAGCTTGGAACATTTCTCAGTCAGGCCGACGAAAGAATTGGTCAGTTACGGCGTTTTTCTTTCGAATTCATCGCATTGAAACGGTGCTCAAACGGCTTCATACGTGTATTTATGTGCACTGTCGGACACTAGCTGTTAGCGCGAACGCGGTGTCGACCATTCCAGCATGGGGGATAACCGTGCCAAAAGAACGAAGGACATCTGCAAAATCAAGAGCGGCGGCAACAACCTTAAAGGGCAACTCCGCTTCTTTTCCAGTAGTGCAAAACTATACGGTTCTCTTTGTTATCATCTACAAAACCTCCATGGCAAATATTACGACGGAATCCCGCCTAGAAGTTCATTAAAATCGCTGTCAAAGTTTGACAAGCACGAATCCGCTGGTTTTGGATGAGACGTGCGGACCAGACAACACTGCCCGAATGCATTTCCGCTTCCTCCAAATTCCTTCTCCCGGCACGTCCGTGACGTCATCAAGCATGTACACCTTTTTTTTGTTTTGTTTTTTCAATTTTATTTTCTTTTTCGGGGAGAGCACGGGTGGCGCCAGCGCCGTGAAAAGCTGCTTTTGTAAGAATATTGAGTGACAGGTTAATCCTCTATAATCTTCTGGGGGGAAAATAGCGACGCCTGTGCTAATCCAGGAGGCACAAAGGAGGATCCTGATAAGACGGGAGCTCCTTCTTCCCTTTGTATATCACGTGGGTGTACATGCTTAGTGATGCCGAATATACAATGTTGTCCGGCTTTGCCAGCGTTTCGGTTTCGGTTTGTGATCATGGCTAGGGTAAAATTACACGACAAATATTTTATTTTTCGCGAAACAAAGGATTGGGGATTGTTTTTGAGTGCTTCAAAAAGCAAAATCGGCCCCTATCTCAAAATTTTTGAAATTAAGCGGAGTTGCCCTTTAACACTGGATCAGCATCTGGCAGTGCATGTACGATCAAAATAAATTGAAGACCAGGTAATCTATTCCGATTTTAAATAAGTAAATACCGCTTTATTCTTTCTGCCCTGAGCGAAGCTGCTTGTTTTATGTTCAAAATATCACCCGCGCAATCAATATCTTAGAGAACAAGTGCGCGATAAAAGCTGCCCGGCAGAGAAAACAATACGAAGAGACACCTTTCATAGCCCACGGACTTTATTCTCTACGTTCTGAAGGTTTTTACCCGCTCATGTACGTCGGGATCATTTTCATATAGTGACAGGACTGGCATATTGAACACATTCTATATTTGTTTCGAAGTTGACGCAGAAAAATGCGCCAACAAAAGCAATTACACTTTTACAGTGTTAGTCAAGGTACATGCTATTCGGTACGAACCAAATAACCAAAGTGTTCCGTGTTATTTTCTGGCGAAGAGACAAAATGCATGCGCGTTTTCCCATAGGAATGCTCAGGGGCACCGCAGAAGGAGACTGGTTGCTGTCTGCTTCAATTTGCGACACGAAAGTCGCATAGACACTAGCGCCTCTTGAACCTCTAGCGTACATTATAATAACTCTATGGATCGACGTGATGGAGGTCATGGAGGTCAATGATGAAAGCGTTGAGGGTACGAGACAATGTACGAGTGCATGCCATCAGTCCGATAGTACAAAACCACACTGGTAAGAAAACAAGCTATCAAGTTTTGAAAAAGAAAAGAAAAAAAAATAGTACGCTCGCAGAAATTAGGACGTGTAGCATACGACACGCCCGATCGCATTGCTAAAGGTTCAGACACCGAGGTCGTCGAATCATCGGATACTTTCCAGGCTCAAGATGTTTGCCGTCTAAAGAATACGAACTGGTGAGTATACCAAGTACAAGTAAACGTCGAGCATAAAGTATGTGTTTTTCTACAACATGAGCAGAACTCAACGTTGGCAGAACTTGTTTGCTAGGTTCACTGACTCCTCTTCTACCGTTACAGCAACATTAGGCGATGAAAAGCAAATAAAGGAAACCTTGTATGCTTGTATTGCTCGCGTAAGGGCGGAGAATAACAAAAATATATAAAAAAAAATATATTACACGCAATCGCGGTAAGCACGAGGAGAGATACAACTCACATGACTTCCGGTGATGCCTCCCTTCTGACCGCCCCAACCTCTTCCGGTACATTGTTACGTCACAGTGCATTGGCGGGCACTTTGAATTGGCTTCGTATTTCTATTTTTATAAAAAAAAAAAAAGAAGCTACGCAACTCTAATCTGTAACCATTCTTTGGTGATATCATGATACACCATTTTAAAGCCTAGCATGAAAAAAAAAATTTTTTTTTCTGGCCGGGGGAGGGAAGGGGGGGGGGGGGGGGGGGGGGTGTCAGAGGCTTAATAACGGAAGCGGCTTACCTCCTCTTCAGGGGCATTAATCACCAACACGCTTAGAAAAAAAAGCAATAACTAGGCTTTTTTTGTCAGAGATAATATTGTAGGCTGTTTGAAGAAACTGGTCACTTGAATTTCGGTGCCTGGAACGCGTCTCCGACTGGTGTGTTTAGCGTCCTATGCTGCCCATACATCAGAAGTGGTCCCCAAGTGGCTACAAATGACGTCACAGAAGCCAGAGTGTCATGCTGTCGGATGTCGCGATCCTGGCGGTTGGCCGTAGAAATGCTAGCAAAAATGGAACGCGAGTGTCGCTGTCGTCAAGGCATCCCAACTTCCTGCTGCCGCAGCTTTTGTGGACTGTCACAATGGAGAGCGACCTGCAGCAGAACAGGCATCTGCCACATCCACCACAGCTGCTAGGACGCCGCCAGGATTGCGACCAGCGACACCAGGACACTTCTATGATGTCATCAGGCTGAAATCGAGGGACCACGTTTTTGGACGCGGTAAACGCAACAGTAAACACAACCTTTTCCAGCCACCATAGTTTGAACCACAGATCTCAATGACATCGAGATCAGGGGTTTGAACACTGATCAGTGGTTTGAACAAATGACACAGGTAGACAGTGTTGCCAGGTCTACTGATTTTTCAGTAGCTCTACCGATTTTGCAGGCTGCCTGCTGATTCCTTGATAAAAAAAGAAAATCTGATTTTTATAGGTAGGAAAAATTTTTTTTAAGGGCATAACAATACGCAGTTTGAAGCGCTGGCTCTCATACTACCTAGAGCACTACATAGCTCCTACGGAGTAGAGTAATGCAATCCTTTGATCCGCCTGTTTTTCTGATAACATGGCCGACAAAGCAGCCCACCGTGAGTCACGTAGTACTCAGGGTTTCAGGAGGCGGCCAGCCCTATGTGAGAACACACAGAGATCGACGCAACGCGGCTGGTTAAAAAATAAACGCCCAGTTCACACTTTTAGAAGCTCGTCGGTGGTGGAGTTGGTAAAACACTAAACACTTTATGAAAGATTTCATAACATTGAATAGGTGTAAAAATTTTGAGAAGTCAATCCACGATTTGTAAAATAGTGGGCGCCGCCAATCGCGCAACGCCGGAAACTTTGACATTTTGGGTGCGACGCTGGAAATTGGTTGGAATACAACTAGGCTTCGCGATGCATGGTTTGGTCTGATGCATGTGGGGCATAAAGCACGTGCATGCGGTCTGTCCCAAGCGTTGCCCCTACACCCAGATTGAATAGTGTGGGAAATTCACCAGGAGCGTACAAAATCGACGCACCCGTGACAAAATGCGCGCTGCAGATCCGGCAGTGCTCGTTCGGCTGCCCTGGTGAGCCATCCGTGTTCCTTCTCTTGACGGCAGCTATCCAAGCCTCTCTCATCGCAGGGTGATGCCTGGCCGACGGAAATCTAAAAAAACAACAAAACTTGGCGTTCTCTTTATCGTAAAGGTAAATTGCACAACCATACGCCAGCATGGCGACAAAGTGACTCGCGAGCTCTCTTCGTCCTTACTTCCCTACCTCAGTCGCAGCCTAGGAATAACCGGCACGCCCATTTGTTTTCCAACCAAACAGGGGGCGCTAGCAACACGTTGTGCTCGGGCATGCGCAGCAGCTTTTTCTGCAAATCGTGGATTTCCAAGGCAATCGCATTTGAAACAGACGACTTTTTCACGCAGCAGAGATGGATCTTTTGGGGTTGGCCAAGCGGGTCACGTGAATGGTGGGACGTTTTTTTTCGCGCGTTTTCCGAACAGCGCGAGACCGTCTATGCACGTAACTTTGCCAGCTTAGCTACCGAGCAATCGCCCTCCACTGCGCCGTGTCGTCTGCTGCAATACGCCGTACAACCAATTCTTACGTGGCACAAAGCTTAACGCAAATTATTGTAAAATGTTCCTCGATTACGTCAAAAAGTGTTGTGGTTCCGTACATCCCAAAAATATTTAAGAAACCACGATTTTCGCGCGTTCTCCATGCATTTGTGACCGGAGTTGGAACCTCCTGGCGTTCGTGGAGAGATGGCGTTCTAGATTGCGCTACTCCAGAGCCAGAGTTTGGCCAGTTTATGATCTCGCAGCCGTAACGCCCCCCCTTCCGAGTGAGCCAATCAGCCCGCGGCGCAGAGTGAGAGGCGTGAGTGCATGCGCATGAACTCTCGTCTGCTCCCAGCTGAGCGGGGAGGGCCACCATTTTTATTCATTCGCCCGGCGGAATGCATGGGATCGACATCCAAATTTCGGTTCTTTCCTTTTATTTGGCAGGCTCCGGCCAGAAAATGGTATAGTGTTATTTAAGTTATTTTTTTAAGTTTCTCCACGTTTGAACCCAAACATTTATTCAGGCGAAAAAAAAACAAGCCCGTAGCGGACGACGCGTAGCCTCAACAGTGCACGGCGCCGACAGCGTTGCGTCAAAATAACAATAGCCTCCTTTTTGCTCCCCTCTTTCTCTCTCGCTCCTTCGGCACTCTCCCTCCCTTACCTTCACTTTTCTCCTCTCCGGCGCCTTCGTCGCTTTGTTGCCACACCCACTGGCCAAACTCTCGCCATAAACGGCCCTGCGCTACTCTGCTTTCAAGGAACTATATAGCGCTCCAATATTAGCCAGCAACCGCATGTAGAATTATTCAAAACGAGACTATATTTATACGTTTCCCTCGATTTATTCAGCTATCCTCCCAAAGCCGTAAGAGCCAACGCAGCCCTGTATGCGCGCACTTACAAAACCGACTGGTCTTGCCTGGTTTCGTCCACGTACGATTATGAGCGGCGAGTCTTCAGATAGCGGCAGTCGCACCCCTCCGGCCCCCTCAAGAAAGAAAAATTATATACGAAAGTATAATACAGCGTGGGAAAGTGCTAAAGGTAATCATTTTGCTTTCTGCAAAGGATGTGATGTGCACTTGGCCGCTGGAAAATTCGAATTAGAAGGAAAAACATGCAGCAAGCAAAAAAACAACAAATTTTCATGTCTGAGTATATTATTTATTATGTTTATTATCTCTTAAGAGCGGTCAGGAATGCAAAAAGTTTTTTTTTTTAGAATTTATTGACTGTTGGGTGACCTACTGATATGTAGGAGATCAATCTACTGACTGATGTTTTCCATCTGGCAACACTGCCGGGAGAACACACGCACAAACTTTTTTTTTTCATTTATATTTTGCCTTTTGTTGGAGGTATTGGAACTAATTCAATTAATAAATTGCTAAAACTGAAAACTGATGAATGAAATATTTCAAAATAAAACCAAAGATTCGTTTACCCGTGGGCGTCGGTCTATGACGAGTTCCATATCCCAACAAAGTTTGAGGATCGTATTGAAGGAAAAAAATTGTAGGGCTCAGGTGGACCTAACCTAACGTAACGTAACCTAACTTAAACGAAAATCAAAACTGGGTGCTTTTGACTGCCGAAAACCCGGGGTGACACCAAAATTGAAAGCAACATTGGTGGTCGACTGTTGTGTGGCACTGGCTACAGGCACTGCCATTGGGCTAGAGGACATCCCGAACCCCCCCGCTGTTGGACCATTGCCTAAGGTTACCTCTGTCCTGGCTTGCCTGTTAGTGGAAAACCCCACTGGCCACTCTTTCGAGCCGTGTTTTACCATGTTACTGAGGACAGCCAGTGCCTCTGACTCTGTCAGGATATTCCACCTAATTGGACCTTCGACGAACTCCAGAGGAGACAACGTCAGGAACCTAAGCTCTGGCAGGAACGGCCTCATGGTTGATTGAATCGCTGCGGGGGAAGCTATGCCAGTTCCTGTTCCACAACGTGCAATCGCCCATGCGTAGACACTCTTGATAACATAGTATTCTTTGACGCAAAGCCGAGGGTTTTTCAGTATTCTGAGGACGGTTTCCTTCGACGCGGTGATGAACGCCGTCGACTCCAGGACTTGAACACCGCTCAAATTCAGGAACGTGTTGATAAGTCCGTCGAAGTTTGCGAGGTTGCCTTTCTTTACGGCGTATTCTAAGACGACGCAAACGTTGGTTGAAAGCATCGAAAATCTAATGGACTCTTCGCAGGCTTCCATGAGCTTCGGCTCCATGTACTTCTTGGCGGCTGCTAGTGTGTGCAATGCTTGCATGAGGTTGACAAATGTGACTTCCTTGCTGTAGAGGTACCTAGAACAAAAGCGAATCAAAGGCCATGATAAGGAGAAACGAAGGTGATGAACTTCATAATGATCTTGCCATATTTCATTTGGGAGGTTTCCAGAACTGCTGGCGGGCAAGCACAGATCTTGATTGAGATAAGAAATGTTGATGCATCACGCCATCACGTTTATAAACAAGTCCGCGTTTGCCCGCAACGTGTGGGCGTTGCGCTTGCGCAGAAGCCACATTGGTGTAAAGTGAAGAGTCTGTGCATGCGCCGACTGCAGCGCCACCGCAGTGATGCGACGTCAGGGTGGCGTGTTCGCTGTGCAGCGTGTAAACTAACGATTTTACAAGGGCAACTGCGGTTCATTTTACATGTTAAGAAAACAATGCAATTCTCTTTAGTAGTGCCTAAAAAGGCCACATGCCAAATATCTCGATTTAATTCCGTGCATACTCCATTTACCCTGGTACAGCAGGAAGTGCTAGAAGCACGAGCTTGTAGCATTGACAGCTGCCCTTAAAGGGACACGGTATTTATGCTCGCCAAGATTTTTAATGCGAAAGCATTAACTGTCCCATGGCGCGGAGCCGGCGGCGACTGTAAGTGCGAAAAACGGCAAATAAATTCCCATTTTCCTATTGGCTGAGCGAAATGGCATACTGTAAAGTTCCATTGGCTGCGACGCGTTATGTTTCCAAGGAACGCCTCCCTACAGAGAAGGCCCTCTCCTGGCGCTGCGGCCCGCGCGCCAATAAAAGAGAAAGGGTGGCACGGAAGCGGCCGCCGCTCTCTTGTCTTTCTCGGGTCATGTGTCAGGACTCAGGCGTGGCTGGAGGCAACACCTCCTACAAATAAGGCCCGATCGCTCCGAGTGGTTACGTCACAATGTCGGAGGAAGGAAGGCCATGGCGCAACTACGTGAGAAAATTTCTGCTATCGGCGCATATCGACGTGAAAAAAAAAAAGGTTTTTCTCGAGCGGCGCCGTATTGTTCGTGGGCGTTTATCCGACATTAATACACGTTTTAAAAGCGCAGTCTTGTACTATCTATGATATATATAATATAAACGTAATATACACCAAAGTATACGTAAGTACCAAATTCATATTTATGATTATCCCCGTAATCGCGGGACTACGCGCAGTCCCGCAGTTCCCCACACTTTTCGAATGAACCGGCTCCGAATTTTCGATGCGAAATCTTCTTCCCTCGTACGGGCTCCAATTCTGGTAAATTTACGTTGTGTGTGAGCTGCTGACTGTCTGCAAAGTAACGCTGAGACATTTCAGAAGGGAAAGGAACCGAAAAAAAAAATTCCAGTTATCGCCGCAGGGAGGGAGCGCACACGAGCAAGAGATGGGTCGACAATGTTAAGCCTCTCGTCCCACACTGCTGCTGCTGCTCTCGTGTGTTTGTGCGTGTGTGTGATTCTTTTGATCCTCCTACCCGTCGTTTTTTTTATCGTCACCGCAGTCTCGGGTATTTTTTTTTTTTTGTGTTTGCTTGATACTACGGCATTTACGTGGATTCGCGAAACAAGTCCTGCTACGGTTTAAGTGACCTGTATGGCAACTAGTCAACGATGACACTGGCCGATGACCTCTCTCTCGACCGAGAAGAGACTTCTTGAAGTTCGTGTTCAAATGTTTTCGTGATGGATCTTGTGGGACGTATGGATGCGATCGAAGGGTGAGAAACAACTTATTTACGGGCTTTCTTGGTCATGTAAAACGCCAGTAAAGTGCTGCAGTCGAGTTTTTTTTTAATCTCGTGATAGAATAGACCGCGTTTATGCTAGAATCTTAACTGTATTAAGGTAATAGTATAATTTTAGACAAAATAGGTTATATTTTGTTCTTAGGCAGCTCGAACCCATAGGGAGAAGTAAATTAGTTGACTGTAAATAATAAGTTTAGTACCCCTGCCACACGGAAGAGGTAATATATTTTAATTAAATAATACGGGATTTAATCAGCTCGCTGTTTTGAGTGATTATACGAGCGTCGCAAGCTTGATTTGTCGATCCCATATTGTCATTCGATCGAAATCACATCAATTTTGATTCAGTGACTGCACGCGATAACATCGCTTACATGATCGTAAGTGACACTTGTCGAGCCGTGTCCGCGTTGGCTACGTCTGTTTGATTTTTAACTGATCTGTATTGCTGTGTCCAATCACTGCGTGTCTCGCCATTTTGTCGGAACATTTTTGTATAAAATATGCATGCATTCCTACAGCAATAATTGCGTGACTCAATATTTTCTACTTAAAACAATCACATAATTCTATAGACGTCTTCTATGCATACCACGTGCCATTTCGTATAGATTATTTAGCGGTGTAACGTTTTGCCCGTGTAATAAAACGTTCCTATGATTTGTTGCAATGTGCAGCTTTCATTTTAGCTAACAAGACACGCGTATGTGACAGAAAGTGCGTTACGACGGTCGATCCACGCGCGTTGCCTTCGCTTCGACGCGCCCTTGATGGCCTTCCTTTGCGACGTCACGAGAAGAGCGCTACGGCCTTCTTCTCTAGGAGGTGTTGCTCGAGGCCGGAGGAGGAGCAGGAAATTCCCGCTCCCTTTCTCTGTGCACTACTGTATCAGGTGTTCTACTCTCTCTTTTCAGCCATGTCGCGCTGCCCGGCCGGCCTTTGCGGAAGACAGTGGGACGCGCAGCTTGCAGGAATACTGCGCTGCGTGTAGGACTGCTTTTGCATTCGTACACGTAAGCAGTCTTAAAGGGGCCCTGCAATCATATTTAAGCGTCCACCTTTTTTGCGGTTTCCACGTCTCTTGGGGTTCGGGCAAGCCAGCGGGCACGGAGAGGGTAACTAAATATCAGTACGTTATATGTTAACCCGACTATAGGCGTAGACTTTGGGGAATCAGCGGGGCTCGTGCCCCGCCCCCCCCCCCCCCCCCCCCCGGTCCGATATCCTTACCGAGACGATGTTTACGTGCCATGTAACGATCTTCTATACTCCGTTTCACCTTATGTTGTACCGCAGCGAAGGCTAGAAGCGCGAGCTCACAGCGTTGGCAGCTGCCCTTAGTGCACGAGAGCTTTTGCCACCGAGATGTGCCCTAGAGCAAGGAGCTCGCGCTTGTAGCCTTTGCTGCGGTACAACACAAGGTGAAACAGAGTATAGTAGTGACAGGTAAACAAAATAACGCCCACATTTTCGAAAACCGGAGACGACGGACGAAGGGGACAACACACAAAACGTCTCAACGATTGAGACGTTTTGTGCGTTGTCCCCTTCTTCGTCCGTCGTCTCCGGTTTTCGAAAATGTGTAACATCAACCAGCTCGCCTGCCTACTTAGTTTATCTTCAATAACGCCCACGTTGCCTTTATTGACAGAATACATGGGAAATGGAATCCCAGCGTGCTTTCGTTAGCTTCAATCTCCAGTTCTGGAGAAAAGGTAACGCGCAACAGCACCCTTCCTCTCCTCCCTCCCTCCCCCCCTCTCCTCCCTCCCTCCTTCCCTCCTTCGCACCGTTCGCTCTGCTAAAGTGGAAAGGGGTGGGAGGATCTTCCACTTTTCTCCCATCGGAAAAGAACCCAAATCGGGCAACGCTCTCTTGACGCGGCGTACGCCATCTGTCGGCAACACTTCTCTCTACGCGCGCATCTTCTGCGAAGTGGAGACTTAGATTGCCCAGAACAAGTTTGTTTATTGTTCTTTTGAACGAGGTAAGTTCATTCCTCGATTTTTTCAATATAAACTTCCACCGGCAGCTTGCACCTGTGTAGTAAATCGCAGCACGATACGTTGAGAAACCGATTTTCGCGGGCTGCTTAAAGTGCCTTAAAAGCGTTAGTTTACACGCTGTGGGTCATGAAATCGGGACTAGCTCATCGCGCTCCCGCAAAGCTCTCCACTTTTTGCACTCTAGCAGAGCAAACGCTGGAAAGAAGGGACGAAGAGGAACTCTCACCCTCTCCAGCGTTGTGGAAAGAGTGGACGAGGGCGTTGTGGAAGAGCTTGTCCAACGGCCTATGCGCGGAGAAGCTGAGGGAGTGGAGACACGAGCGCACGGGGACCTCGGAACGCAGAGTTTTCGTAGACCTAAAGTCAGAAGCCCTTATCTGCCCTGCACTCGTCGAACGCGTTAGAATGCGAAAGCCAAACACCGCGGACACCTGCGTTCTAATGTGTTCAATCAGTGCAGTGGAGATAAAGGCGCTAGCTTTTGGGCTACCCACTAATCACTCCCACCAGAGCTCGGCGTTTCGATGCCTCTGCAAGCTCTCATCACCTCCTTCCCTCAGTTTCTCGGTGCATAGGATTCCTGTTTTCGGAGTTTATTTCTTCCAAAACTAGGAGGGTTTCTTTTTTTAGTTTTTACTGCAGTGAAACATTGATGTTTATCTGAATTTCTTTCGTTTAAATTATAAGTTTTCCGAAATTCGGAGCTTCATTTTGCTCCATCCCCAATTTCCCCACATTCAAACAAAACAGAAAATATCTGTACTTCCAGTGTCTTCGAAACTTGCAAACAACAGTTCCCTCACTAGACATCCTTCAATATAAATAGAAATGCTGACAAGTCTCAAAAGTTACCGGCCATTCCAATATCGTAAAAATAAAGATTCTATAAATTGACAGGACAAACAGTTTATCATGATGACCAATGCAATCCTCACGGCTCAGCAAGGGCAGTAAGTAAAAGTGAGCAAAGACCGGGGAATTTTATCCTAAAAGCGGCGAAAGGCGCTAGAGAGGCACTAACGGTAAACAGATCTGTGGCTAGCCCATATGACCTGGCACACGAGTATATACGTGAAGAGGCACTAACGGTAAAGAGATCTGTGGCTAGCCCATATGACCTGGCACACGAGTATATACGTGAAGAAATGATACATGCATGTAGATACATATGTGTGAGGATTAAGCTATTATGATTGTTAGCATTAAGAGTATTGTCGTTTACTTGAGGAAAGCAGAAAATCCATCCGGATGCAAGTCGGTGACGCGAACTTGGTTCTTCTCGGGCAGACTTCCGTAGAACATGGTTTCGAAGACCTCGTTGCGCATGGCAAGAACCATCTTGTGGGCCTTGAAGCTCTTGGGTGGGTCGGAGCCATGCTCCACCAGGAACTCAACGTCGGCGTGCCTGCCCTCCGTGAAGAAACAAATGTCGCCTCTCCTTGGTGCTGCGACATTGACTGGCTTCGCCATCTGAAACGACATTGTGCAGCCACGTACGAGTTACAAATGCGCATGTAGCCCGTTCCACATCCTCCACCAGCCAGTGTTCCTTTGCAATGAGCAATTAATTGGCTACCGAGGCGCACGCTTCGCTGACGTGAGTGGGAACCGGTGCGTATACTGCTCACCCGCAAGGACAAGACAGGCCAAACGTGGACAAAGCACATCTTAATCTGAGCAGGCCAGGCAATCGAGTGATCCCCCCTCGCAGGTCCTGGGCAGCGCAGTTTTTTTTTTCTTCCACGGGCGTATACATGTCACGTAACACGCCACGGATACAGCAGGCTAGAGGTGCTAAAGTAACTCTAACCTTCTCAAGCAAAAATCTGTTTCTCAAACTATGGAGCTGAGATTTACTAGAGAGGTGCGGTTAAAGGTCCCTGCAATCATATTTAAGGGTGTAACTTTTTTGCCATTTCCACGTCTCTTGGGGTTCCGGCAAGCCAGTGGGCACAGAGAGAGCAACTAAATATCGGTGTGCCATATTTTAACCGGACGACGCGGAAACCTCCTCCACCTACGGGGTCGACCCGCAGTGCCGTAAGCGCGCGATATGTGACGCCTTTGGTCCTGTCGTTACTACTGGTCAGAGCCGCTAAAAGCTTTTTTTTAGTCGAAATACAAAATATAATTGTCGCAAACCGTTTCAATTATCTATGAAAGTAGATTTTGTTCAGTATTTTAGATCAGAAAAGAAACAAATGCAGTTTTTAAAGTACGGAAACGAGAAACGACTCGTCGACATACCCGCCACCAAGCGGCGATAAAAACAGCGCATACTAGAAAGGGATAGTGGGATGAGGCACGCACGAGCAGCAAGCATAGAAAGGCCCCGGATGTATGCGGTGGCGCTGCGGTCGTATACCGGCTCGAGGATCTGACCGGTTCCGAGCCTTCCGAAGGCCTTCGGCGCAGATGTGGCTGCCGATTTTGCCATTTGGCGGTATGGCAGCGCGAAGGGGCTCCCGTTCTGAACTGATCCTTCCCTGTGTTTGCGGTCATTTGAGGCCAATGAAGTGTTATGCCGAATTAGTCTTTAATTGCGCAGCAAATGCAATGCGAGCCGCCCTGGCCACGCGCTTCATTCAACCTACCCAATGCTTTAGTGGCGCCCTCTCGAGCCGTCGACAGGGAGTGCGGCTGCCGTGAGAGCTCGATGAGCTCACTACCCCTCCTTTAGTTCACCGCCACTCAAGCCAAGACTTAGGACGTCATGAAGGAGGCTATTTTATGTTTGTTTTTGTAAGTTTAATTTGCCTATACCTTTGAAAATAAAGCGAAATTCAAGAAAAGAGAAGTTTCATTAAGTTACTACGTTCAGTGCGCTCAGGTTCGGTGCAAATTGAAAACAAGTCGAGAAGTTGCTGCAGGGCGTTAAGCAACAAAAAAACTGCAAAGGTTAGAAGGGAGCATGACGCTGCAAGAATGCTTCACGAAGACGCGCGCAGAAGCAGCTTGCTCCTGCTGCGAGCAGCGAGCTTCCTCGCATAGCTCATGCTGAGCCAATGAAAGTGGTTGTGATAGAACTTCCAGCGCACCACCGGCGTAGCGTCGGAGCTTGGGTTGTGCATGGCAGGGGTCAAACACATCGGAGTAGGATGCACACCCTCGCAGCGCCCTACTCTCCTCCAACACGCAGTTTTATCAGTTTCAAAAGGCATCCAGGAGGCGCAGCATATGTATTGACGGCCTAATTTACGATGGTCACGAGATCCGCTGTTCGCATTTCATTCGAACCCGATAGTATGGCGCGGCTCCAAAGATTAGATTAAGCAGAATCAGTGTGAGGTAAGCGGATTGTCTGAGTGTTAACAAAAAATTGAAATTGAATTGAGATAATAACATCAAAGATGAGGTGCTTCCATTGGAAGGTTAAAAGGCGCAAACTGAAACGGGATGAAAACAGACACACGTACGACATGGCACTAGTTTCAGCGACGGTGTCACCGCCCTGGCGGCTGGTGGCCAAAAGAGAACGAGGGGGATAGGTTCGCTGGGCGTTGGCTTCGTGTAAATGTGTTGGCCGCGAACGTAGGCTTATAAACTTCGGCAGCAAGAATATTACATAGCGCTAATGTTCCGGTATGAGCAACAGAGGTGCCACGATCTGCTACGACTAGCTACGACCACCCGCCGCAGCGATGCAGGCATCGAAGGAGCGCAACCTGTGACCTGTGTACTACGCAGTCAATCGCCGTCGCCCGACGATGATCGTTTGGCATTCAGGGCTTTCCGCCCTGGGTTCTTCGTTTGTACTTGGAACCGAGTATTATTTTCTGTGCTTGTGTATGTGCTCAGTGGCTGAATATGGACCTCATAGAACAGTTCTTCAGACTCAACAGCGACTCAAAGTTGACGGCGGAGGGGCTTGCAGCAACGCTTTCGGTTGGTGCACGGGTGTGACGACTACACGGATAAATTTTAAGATTGCTGCTAGCAAGGTGGGCCATAGTCGCTTTATGTTGACACGATTTTGAGTGTAAGTACTCCGTGCAAAGGCGAATCTATCGCGTTTCTAATCCGCCTTTGTTTTTGTTGTTTTTAGCACGCACGACCGACTGTTAAGCAAATGCTTCTGTACCGATCACGGAGTGAATGTCTTCGGCCTTACATTGCGGAACGCCCAATAAAAAGTCATATTTGTTCAGCGAGAAAAGTTCCCTTTCGAGTGACTTTCTTTGATTGATAATTTCTCCCTTAAGTGCTTTAATCAACACGATTGATTAAGTTTGCTTCCCTAGTTAGGACATTTTTGTGCCACATGCGGCACTAATGCTTGGCACGATGTATGCCACTGGTGGTATTGTGAATTGGTTTACTTCCAAAGCTAACAGTGTTTCAGGTGGGACCATTCAATTTGCTAAAAATGTGATATGGGAATACGTTGCGCCACGTGACTAGCTTAGTTTCCGCGAATGCCACCAGTCTAGCGCTCCCCGGAGAAAGCCGCACGCGCGTTATAGACAAGCGTGATTAGCACTGTACGTCGAACGAAGTTCCGCCCACCTCTTTTCGTCGATTAACTTTTTTAGCGAACGGCATACCCATATGTGTCAGCGCAGAAATCACATTTGGGCATGATAGTGGGCGACTCCAATGATTAGATTAAGCGGAATCAGTGTGAGGTAAGCGGATTGTCTGAGTGTTAAATAAAAATTGAGTTGAGGTAACATCAAAGATGAGGTGCTTCCATTGAAAGGTTAAAAGGCGCGAACTGAAACAGGACGAAAACAGGCACACGTACGACATGGCGCTTGTCCGTGTCGTACCTACATGTCTTTTTATAGCGAAGCTGTTTATGGCTAGGGTTCCGTGGATTGTTCATGTGCGTCAACAAAAACTCGCACCGTTCTCTCTTTGTCATTCAAAATGCTTGCGTGCCTAGTTTCTTCCGCTTTCCCGGAGTGGCGGTCCCGTTGCGCGTGTCTACTTTCCGCCGGTTCCTCGGTGTGGCGACAGTCGTCCACGCGAATGTATATGAAAAAGAGAAAGACAAGTTGTCATTCTCCATTTTCAATTTCACTTCTCTCGTCGTAATGGGGAGCGCGTCTACGAAGTCTGCGTACCTTTCGTCACAATGACCACCGATCAGGACAATCATTGTGTTCGTACCAAATTTGTTCAAAATTCTGTGTCACGTCTGTGTCGTGTGCTAAACAGCTTCACTGGTCATCCACCTTTAGTGGAATGGCTCATGATTTTTTGTCGTGTTTAAGTTCACGCCTTTTAATTTTTTAATTGATATGTACTTAACTGGCCCCAACCGAAGTTTCACTGAGGTACTTCCCCGCGAACTATGTTGCCTGCGAGCAATCGAGCATCTGTCTATTTTGGTCGGTGCCCGCAGTAGAGGTGTTCTAGCACTTATGTATCGAGAAAGGGCCCTAAACTAAAACGCCGTTCGACGAAACTACACATCGTCGAGGTCACCGCACCTCCCCTTCTCAAACGCCACTCGCAAGGGTAACAGATTGAATTCCGTGTCAAATGAAAGGAACAGTTTCGCACCGCACTCACCCGACATCCGCGAACCCGTGGTTCCGATGAATTCAGTTGCCACGATGTCGCAGCCGCACGCCCGTGGAATCCGAAACTATGCGTAGTCTGCCGTCTCAGGTGTTCGCGACGGGCCCGTCGCCGCTTGCGTAATGTCAGATAAGCGAAAACCCCTCTTTCACCTCCTTTCCCTCCCGCGCCTGGTTTGGATGTCCGAAGGATGGCGAGATGGATACGGCCCTATCAGCGGCACTGAACAGAGCAGCCAAATGCGATATAGCCATAGAGCGATATAGCTTTGCCAACACTGGAAAGGCTGGAAACTTCTCGGAGAACCGATAGGAGCGGCGGCGAAGGCGAACGTGACAGTGGCGCCTCTAGCGGACTCGGAGTCTACGGAAGCAGACGACGCAATGAGCTTTGCGAGCCCCGTTTCGTCACCCCAGCAGCTGAAACAGTTCATTACGGTCAGTTCGCTTGCAAAGCAGAATGCCCTGATCGCAACTGCAACGGCAATCAAACAACAACGCGCGCAGAAACAAAGATAAAGCAGTTTATTTAGCACTCTCAAACGCCACTCGGAGGATAATACGCGTTTAAAGCGCATATGGGAAGCGGAGAAAAAAAAAAAAAAAAAAAGGCGTCTAGCTACTCAAATTACGTTGTAAGAGGTTACTGTTGATCCGTTACAAACTGCGTTGTCACAATTTTTTACCTGAATCGGTGATCATTAAAACGTGCGCAAACAACACGTTAAGAATACGAGAGCAAGCGCACCAGCCATTGGAGCATAACAAAATGAAAAAAGTAACGAGAAAAATGACCGTGCAAATACTTTCCGAACTTTGCAGGAAATATAAGTTCCCCATCCCAGGCGAAAATAAAAAAATAAAAAAATGGGGAACAGTCGTGAACAACGGTGAATAAAACAAAGTTAGCAGACGACACAAAGACACAAGTCAACCAGCAAAGAACTCCTTCAACGACGACGGTCGTTGTGGTGCTTATGCAAAGAAAAATGGAAAGCAGCTGAAGCTCGGGAATCTCTATATAGGAGCATTGAAAATGAGCAGGTAATGATCGCCGTCGGTGTTGAGTCCACTGCAAACAAAGTGGAAGCAACACGACGAAACTAATCATTAAAGAAAAGAGCTTCACTTTTTTTTTCTTCTTTTAGCTGCTTGTTACACGTACGTTTGTTTGCTTTCGCGGCGTTGGTAGGAACTAAAAAGAAAACAGGGAAAAGAATAACGTAGTCCAGCTCTCACACTGCCCGGTAACGAAGATGCGCACGCTGCAATTCACTACCTGCTGGCACTGTGTGACCTTTTTGGCTTTCGCATTTCTTTTAATTCCCAGCGACTTTGGCAGGTTTGTCGTTTACTCGTTTGACGAAGCAGCTCAAAAGTACATTCAAGTACTTGATGTACGTGTCCAGCAACCTTAGTCCACCGTATCTTTCTTTCGAGTGCCGATCAGCTGCTCAAGTCCGCCTCCAGCTGAACTCTTGGCTGTTGCAATATATCAGTGCAGTGTGTGTCGAAGGCACAGCTGTTGTTTGATATCGCAACGATATCAAATACTGGGAAGAAAACGACAGAGCGGTGGTGTTTTGTGCCGGGGTGCATGCAGCATCGGATACAACGTGCATGCAAAGAGAAACACTCCTTGCTTTAAACGCCCAGCAACGCCTCTCTGTTTGGAGAATGGGATGGTCCGATTCTAAGAAAAAATTCTACTGAGTCACACAATTACATTTCTTTTTTATGGGAAAACTAAAACTGGTGCAGAGAAAAGATAGAAGTCGAAGAAGAATGAGTGTCCTGTGTGACATGTGCGAGAAAACAAGTTTCTTAGTGGGATTGTTCATCAATAATGTAAGCAGTTGAAGTTGCACCATATAGCTTGCCAGTCTTGGTGTTTATTTTCAGAGGATGCATGCTCACTAGATGAAACCAATTCAGGCATTTCCAATTCTATCAGCTCTGACTGAAAATACAAAAGTAAAAAAAAAAAACTCGAGGTCCATTTTAGCCCTTCTTATGAGTTGTGAATGCGAAAGCATGTAAGACGCTCGTCCGCTCCCTTTGACGTCTGCCGCGTACTTTTTGTCGCCGGTCAGCGCGCGTGCTGACCTTGAATCAGCACGCTGATTAGAGTTCCTCGATAACAGCGTGTTGAACGCTCCGTGTTAACGGCGCGCTGATTAGAGTTCCTCGATATGCTCCCGCGAAGGGGGAGCATCTACCGTAGGGAGCTACATACAGGAACTCTAGCGCTGATGGACACGTAGCGGCATGGGGTGAGCGGTCGTGGAAACCGACGAGCACGGCGGCGAATGGGAGCCCCGTCGACGCGCGCCAGCCAATGGAACCGAAGGATCGAGGAAACTAGATGCGGCAATGTCCGACGCATGTTGAACTTTTAAAGGAAAGTTCAGCAATGATTCGGCAAACGTCTGCGCACGCGCGAGAACGCGGCGGGGCCATGGATTGCAAATGGACGTCGTGCGGTTACCATTGTACAGTGTAGTACAACCAGCGGTTACGGCAAGGTGCTGAGTACGCGTCATGGTAAATGTGTGTGTGTCAGCCTTTGCGAGTGTCGTTGTCTAATATTTTCTGCCTCAAGAACTGAAGATTGACCAAGAATTGATGCAGTCAACTGCGCATATGACAAATGATACGGTATATTTTGGATAACGTGGGTCAAGTATTTAAAGCACTGCTCGCTATTATAGCAATCTTGTTTTCGGCTCACAAGTAGTTTGTGCCCTTTATGCTCTTGTATCTCGCGCATGAGTAGCCTGGGTGACGATAAGTGTATCAGGTATACATATATATATATGTACTTTCATCTTCCTTTCCCAATACAGTTGTGAGCCTGTCGGGGATCGAAAATTGTAACTTCTTTCCGTTCCTTCCGAATGAAGCTGCTGCAATCTGATTTTTTTTAGACACTCTCGAACTAGGAAGTATTGTCTAAATTCTAAGCGACGAGGATCCGAGCAAGAGGAGAGTTTTTGTCTTCCCTCCTTTTGAACTGTTTGGTAACGCTGTGAGATTTGTGAGTTGAGGAGGAAAGGTAAGAAAGAAGTTGACAAATCGTTTCATGGCCCCTTAAACATTATGATCTGCCAAAACAACTGCGCCCCAAAATATTATGAAAATAAACCTGTGCAAGTGGCACTGTTCCTTGGCGGCGTTAGAAAAAGAGTGAAGTTAAGGTTTGCCGTTCTGACACCTCCACGGGATCCTTTACTACCGTTTATTCAAATACAGACCGGCATTTTTTTTTCTCTACGCAGGTTTTTAACATTAGAGATCAACCTATCATTAAGACAAAAAAAGGAAAAAGTAGATGGGCAAAACACAGGCGCTCAAAGGTAACAACGGAGCGTCTTCCTCCCTTCTACTGACGCGCCCCCAAGCGGACACAAGAAAAAGGTTTTTTTATTTTTTTTTTATTGATGGGGTAAAAGAGAAACCAGAGAAATTCGCCGGGAGGTATCTCCTGACTGGCTACTCTGGTAAGGGTGGGGAAGAGAGGTAAAAAGATGTGAAGAAAGTTAATGGCACACACAAAAATAGCAAAAAAGAAAAGCAACATAAACTTATTTTACATTAAAGTTTCTCGAAGAGACCAGTCGCGGTCAGGAATCGCAAAAGGACTTTGTCGCAACTACTAGGTAGCTTGGAACATTTCTCAGTCAGGCCGACGAAAGAATTGGTCAGTTACGGCGTTTTTCTTTCTAATTCATCGCATTGAAACGGTGCTAAAACGGCTTCATACGTGTATTTATGTGCACTGTCGGACACTGTTAAGCGGGTTTCACATGCAACGATTTTGGCCCTAAAGCGGCGCGATTTCTGCCGTCGCGGCGCTCGTGCCGCTGAATTGCTGGTGCTGGCTAGAGCGCCGCGACGGCAGAAATCGCGCCGCTCTAGGGCCAAAACCGCTGCAGGTGAACTAGGCTTTAGAGCGAACGCGGCGTCGGCCATTCCAGCATGGGGGATAACCGTGCCAAAAGAACGAAGGACATCTGCAAAATCAAGAGCGGCGGCAAGAACTTTAACACTGGATCAGCACCTGGCAGTGCATGTACGATCAAAATAAATTGAAGACCAGGTAATCTATTCCGATTTTAAATAAGTAAATACCGCTTTATTCTTTCTGCCCTGAGCGAAGCTGCTTGTTCTATGTTCAAAATATCACCCGCGCAATCGATATCTTAGAGAACAAGTGCGCGATAAAAGCTGCCCGGCAGAGAAAACAATACGAAGAGACACCTTTCATAGCCCACGAACTATATTCTCTACGTTCTGAAGGTTTTTATCCGCTCATGCACGACGGGATCATTTTCATATAGTGACAGGACTGGCATATTGAACACATTCTATATTTGTTTCGAAGTTGACGCAGAAAAATGCGCCAACAAAAGCAATTACACTTTTACAGTGTTAGTCAAGGTACATGCTATTCGGTACGACCCAAATAACCAAAGTGTTCCGTGTTATTTTCCGGCGAAGAGACAAAATGCACGCGCGTTTTCCCATAGGAATGCACAGGGGCACCGCAGAAGGAGACTGGTTGCTGTCTGCTTCAATTTGCGACACGAAAGTCGCATAGACACTAGCGCCTCTTGAACCTCTAGCGTACATTATAATAACTCTATGGATCGACGTGATAGAGGTCAATGATGAAAGCGCTGAGAGTACGAGACAATGTACGAGTGCATGCCATCAGTCCGATAGTACAAAACCATACTGGTAAGAAAACAAGCTATCAAGTTTTGAAAAAGAAAAAAAAATTAGTACGCTCGCAGAAATTAGGACGTGTAGCATACGACACGCCCGATCGCATTGCTAAAGGTTCAGACACCGAGGTCGTCGAATCATCGGATACTTTCCAGGCTCAAGATGTTTGCCGTCTAAAGAATACGAACTGGTGAGTATACCAAGTACAAGTAAACGTCGAGCATAAAGTATGTGTTTTTCTACAACATGAGCAGAACTCAACGTTGGCAGAACTTGTTTGCTAGGTTCACTGACTCCTCTTCTACCGTTACAGCAACATTAGGCGATGAAAAACAAATAAAGGAAACCTTGTATGCTTGTATTGCTCGCGTAAGGGCGGAGAATAACAAAAATATAAAAAAAAATATATTACACGCAATCGCGGTAAGCACGAGGAGAGATACAACTCACATGACTTCCGGTGATGCCTCCCTTCTGACCGTCCCGACCTCTTCCGGTACATTGTTACGTCACAGTGCATTTGCGGGCACTTTGAATTGGCTTCGTATTTCTATTTTTATAAAAAAAGAAGCTACGCGACTCTAATGTGAAACCATCCTTTGGTGATATCCTAGTACACCATTTTAACGCCTAGCATGAACATTTTTTTTTCTGGCCGGGGGAGGGTGGGGGGGGGGGGGGGGGGGGGGTGTCGGAGGCTTCATAACGGAAGCGGCTTACCTCCTCTTCAGGGGCAATAATCACCAACACACTTAGAAAAAAAAAAAAAAAAGCAATAACTAGGCTTTTTTTTTTTGTCAGAGATAATATTGTAGGCTGTTTGAAGAAACTGGTCATTTGAATTTCGGTGCCTGCAGCGCGTCTCCGACTGGTGTGTTTAGCGTCCTATGCTGCCCATACATCAGAAGTGGTCCCCAAGTGGCAACAAATGACGTCACAGAAGCCAGAGTGTCATGCTGTCGGATGTCGCGATCCTGGCGGTTGGCCGTAGAAATGCTAGCAAAAAGCACGAGGGAACGCGAGTGTCGCTGTCGTCACGGCGTCTCAACTTCCTGCTGTCGCAGCTTTTGTGGACTGTCACAATGGAGAGCGACCTGCAGCAGAACAGGCATCTGCCACATCCACCACAGCTGCTGGGACGCCGCCAGGATTGCGACCGGCGACACTTCTATGATGTCATCAGGCTGAAATCGAGGGACCACGTTTTTGGACGCGGTAAACACAAATGTAAACACAACCTTTTCCAGGCACCATAGGTTGAACCACAGATCTCAATGACATCGAGATCAGTGGTTTGAACACTGATCAGTGGTTTGAACGGTTTGAACCACTGGTTTGAACAAATGACACAGGTAGACAGTGTTGCCAGGTCTACTGATTTTTCAGTAGCTCTACCGATTTTGCAGGCTGTCTGCTGATTCTTTGATAAAAAAAGAAAATCTGATTTTTATAGGTAGAAAAAAATTTTTTAAGGGCATAACAATACGCAGTTTGAAGCGCTGGCTCTCATACTAGCTAGAGCACTATATAGCTCCTACGGAGTAGAGTAATGCAATCCTTTGATCCGCCTGTTTTTCTGATAACATGGCCGACAAAGCAGCTCACCGTGAGTCACGTAGTACTCAGGGTTCCAGGAGGCGGCCAGCCCTATGTGAGAACACACAGAGATCGACGCAACGCGGCAGGTTAAAAAATAAACGCCCAGTTCACACTTTTAGAAGCTCGTCGGTGGTGCAGTTGGTAAAACACTAAACACTTTATAAAAGATTTCATAACATTGGATAGGTGTGAACATTTTGAGAAGTCAATCCACGATTTGTAAAATAGTGGGCGCCGCCTATCGCGCAACGCCGGAAACTTCGACATTTTGGGTGCGACGCTGGAAATTGGTTGGAATACAACTAGGCTCCGCGATGCATGGTTTGGTCTGATGCATGTAGGGCATAAAGCAGGTGCATGCGGTCTGTCCCAAGCGTTGCCCCTACACCCAGATTGAATAGTGTGGGAAATTCCCCAGGAGCGTACAAAATCGACGCACCCGTGACAAAATGCGCGCTGCAGATCCGGCAGTGCTCGTTCGGCTGCCCTGGTGAGCCATCCGTGTTCCTTCTCTTCACGGCAGCTATCCAAGCCTCTCTCATCGCAGGGTGATGCCTGGCCGACGGAAATCTAAAAAAACAACAAAACTTGGCGTTCTCTTTATCGTAAAGGTAAATTGCACAACCATACGCCAGCATGGCGACAAACAAAGTGGCTCGCGAGCTCTCTTCGTCCTTACTTCCCTTCCTCAGTCGCAGCCTAGGAATAACCGGCACGCCCATTTGTTTTCCAACCAAACAGGGGGCGCTAGCAACACGTTGTGCTCGGGCATGCGCAGCAGCTTTTTCTGCAAATCGTGGATTTCCAAGGCAATCGCATTTGAAACAGACGACTTTTTCACGCAGCAGAGATGGATCTTTTGGGGTTGGCCGGAGCGGGTCACGTGAATGGTGGGACGTTTTTTTTCGCGCGTTTTCCGAACAGCGCGAGACCGTCTATGCACGTAACTTTGCCAGCTTAGCTACCGAGCAATCGCCCTCCACTGCGCCGTGTCGTCTGCTGCAATACGCCGTACAACCAATTCTTACGTGGCACAAAGCTTAACGCAAATTATTGTAAAATGTTCCTCGATTACGTCAAAAAGTGTTGTGGTTCCGTACATCCCAAAAATATTTAAGATACCACGATTTTCGCGCGTTCTCCATGCATTTGTGACCGGAGTTGGAACCTCCTGGCGTTCGTGGAGAGATGGCGTTCTAGATTGCGCTACTCCAGAGCCAGAGTTTGGCCAGTTTATGATCTCGCCGCCGTAACGCCCCCCCTTCCGAGTGAGCCAATCAGCCCGCGGCGCAGAGTGAGAGGCGTGAGTGCATGCGCGTGAACTCTCGTCTGCTCCCAGCTGAGCGGGGAGGGCCACCATTTTCATCCATTCGCCCGGCGGAATTCATGGGATCGACATCCAAATTTCGGTTCTTTCCTTTTATTTGGCAGGCTCCGGCCAGAAAATGGTATAGTGTTATTTAAGTTATTTTTTTAAGTTTCTCCACGTTTGAACCCAAACCTTTATTCAGGCGAAAAAGAAACAAGCCCGTAGCGGACGACGCGTAGCCTCAACAGTGCACGGCGCCGACAGCGTTGCGTCAAAATAACAACAGTCTCCTTTTTGCTCCTCTCTTTCTCTCTCGCTCCTTCGGCACTCTCCCTCCCTTACCTTCACTTTTCTCCTCTCCGGCGCCTTCGTCGCTTTGTTGCCACACCCACTGGCCAAACTCTCGCCATAAACGGCCCTGCGCTACTCTGCTTTCAAGGAACTATATAGCGCTCCAATATTAGCCAGCAACCGCATGTAGAATTATTCAAAACGAGACTATATCTATACGTTTTCCTCGATTTATTCAGCTATCCACCCAAAGCCGTAAGAGCCAACGCAGCCCTGTATGCGCGCACTTACAAAACCGACTGGTCTTGCCTGGTTTCGTCCACGTACGATTATGAGCGGCGAGTCTTCAGATAGCGGCAGTCGCACCCCTCCGGCCCCCTCAAGAAAGAAAAATTATATACGAAAGTATAATACAGCGTGGGAAAGTGCTAAAGGTAATCATTTTGCTTTCTGCAAAGGATGTGATGTGCACTTGGCCGCTGGAAAATTCGAATTAGAAGGAAAAACATGCAGCAAGCAAAAAAACAACAAATTTTCATGTCTTAGTATATTATTTATTATGTTTATTATCTCTTAAGGGCGGTCAGGAATGCAAAAAGTTTTTTTTTTTTTAGAATTTATTGACTGTTGGGTGACCTACTGATATGTAGGAGGTCAATCTACTGACTGATGTTTTCCATCTGGCAACACTGCCGGGAGAACACACGCACAAACGTTTTTTTTTTTCATTTATATTTTTGCCTTTTGCTTGAGGTATTGGAACTAATACAATTAATAAATTGCTAAAACTGAAAATCGGTGAATGAAATATTTCAAAATAGGACCAAAGATTCGTTTACCCGCGGGCGTCGGTTTATGACGAGTTCCATCTCCCAACGAAGTTTGAGGATCGCATTGAAGGAAAAAAATTGTAGGGCTCAGGTGAACCTAACCTAAGGTAACGTAACCTAACCAAAAGGATAAACTGAACTGGGTGCTTTTGAGTGCCCAAAACCCGGGGTGACACCAACACTGCGAGCAACATTGGTGGTCGACTGCTTTGTGGCACTGGCTACAGGCACTGCCATATTGCTAGGGTGCATCCAGTACCCCCCCGCTGTTTGACCACTGCCTAAGGTTACCTCTGTCCTGGCTTGCCTGTTAGTGGAAAACCCCACTGGCCACTCCTTCGAGCCGTGTTTTACGATGTTACTGAGGACAGCCAGCGCCTCTGACTCCGTCAGGATGTTCCACGTAATTGGACCTTCGACGAACTCCAGAGGAGACAACGTCAGGAACCTAAGCTCTGGCAGGAACGGCCTCATGGTTGATTGAATCGCTGTGGGGGAAGCTATGCCAGTTTCTGTTCCACAACGTGCAATCGCCCATGCGTAGACACTCTTGATAACATTGTATTCCTTGACGTTCAGCTGCGGGTCCTTAAGTATCCTGAGGACAGTTTCCTTTGACGCGGCGATGAACGCCTTCGACTCCAGGACTTGAAAACCGCTCATATTCAGAAACTTGTTGATAAGGTCGTCGAAGTTTGCGAGGTTGCCGTTCTTTACGACATATTCTAAGACGTCGCAAACGTCGGTTGACTGCATCGAATTTCTGATGAACTTGTGGCAGGCTTCCACGAGCTCCGACTCCATGTACTTCTGGGCGGCTGCTCGTGTGTGCAATGCTTGCTTGACGTTGACAAATGTGGCTTCCTTGCTGTAGAGGTACCTAGAACAAAAGCGAATCAAAGGACGTGATAAGAAGAAACGAAGGTGATGAACTTTATAATGATCTTGCCATATTGCATTTGGGAGGTTTCCAGAACTGCTGGCGGGCAAGCGCAGATCTTGATGGAGATAAGAAATGTTGATGCATACCTATAGACCATCACGTTTACAAACAAGCCCGCGTTTGCCCGCAACGTGTGGGCGTTGCGCTTGCGCAGAACCCACATTGGTGTAAAGGGAAGAGTCTGTGCATGCGCCGACTGCAGCGCCACCGCAGTGATGCGACGTCAGGGTGCCGTGTTCGCTGTGCAGCGTGTAAACTAACGATTTTACAAGGGCAACTGCGGTTTATTTTACATGTTAAGAAAACAATCCAATTCTCTTTAGTAGTGCCTAAAAAGGCCACATGCCAAATATCTCGATTTAAATCTGTCCTTCCTCCGTTTCCCCTGGTACAGCAGGAAGTGCTAGAAGCACGAGCTTGTAGCACTGACAGCTGCCCTTAAAGGGACACTAAAGGGTATTTATGCTCGCCAAGATTTTTAATGCGAGAGCATTAACTGTCCCATGGCGCGGAGCCAGCGGCGACTGTAAGTGCGAAAAACGGCAAATAAATTCCCATTTTCCCATTGGCTGAGCGAAATGGCATACTGTAAAGTTCTATTGGCTGCGACGCGTTATATTTCCAAGGAACGCCTCCCTACAGAGAAGGCCCTCTCCTGGCGCTGCGGCCCGCGCGCCAATAAAAGAGAAAGGGTGGCACGGAAGCGGCCGCCGCTCTCTTGTCTTTCTCGGGTCATGTGTCAGGCGTGGCTGGAGGCAACACCTCCTACAAATAAGGCCTGATCGCTCCGAGTGGTTACGTCACAATGTCAAAGGAAGGAAGGCCATGGCGCAACTACGCGAGAAAATTTCTGCTATCGGCGCATATCGACGTGAAAAAAAAAAGTTTTTTCTCGAGCGGCGCCGTATTGTTCGTGGGCGTTTATCCGACATTAATACACGTTTTAAAAGCGCAGTCTTGTACTATCTATGATATATATAATATAAACGTAATATACACCGAAGTATACGTAAGTACCAAATTCATATTTATGATTATCCCCGTAATCGCGGGACTACGCACAGTCCCGCAGCTCCCCACACTTTTCGAATGAACCGGCTCCGAATTTTCGATGCGAAATCTTCTTCCCTCGTACGGGCTCCAATTCTGGTAAATTTACGTTGTGTGTGAGCTGCTGACTGTCTGCAAAGTAACGCTGAGACATTTCAGAAGGGAAAGGAACCGAAAAAAAAAAATCCAGTTATCGCCGCAGGGAGGGAGCGCACACGAGCAAGATATCGGTCGACAATGTTAAGCCTCTCGTCCCACACTGCTGCTGCTGCTCTCGTGTGCTTGTGCGTGTGTGTGATTCTTTTGATCCTCCTACCCATCATTTTTTTTATCGTCACCGCAGTCTCGGGTATTTTTTTTTTTTTTTTTTTTTGTGTTTGCTTGATATTACGGCATTTACGTGGATTCGTGAAACAAGTCCTGCTACGGTTTGAGTGACGTGTGTGGCAACTAGTCAACGATGACACTGGCCGATGACCTCTCTCTCGACCGAGAGAGACTTCTTGAAGTTCGTGTTCAAATGTTTTCGTGATGGATCTTGTGGGACGTATGGATGCGATCGAAAGGTGAGAAACAACTTATTTACGGGCTTTCTTGGTCATGTAAAACGCCAGTAAAGTGCTGCAGTCGAGTTTTTTTTAATCTCGTGATAGAATAGAATCTTGTTCTTCGTCGTTATCCGTTTTCAATTGCGTCTACATTTGTAAATATGCGTGGTAATATTTTAGTTTTTACTGGAAGGTAAAAAACAAGTTTGTGTAATTATTGAAAGTGCGTTGTTTCTGCTTGTGTGTTTATTTATACTAATGTTATTTTGTTGCCTTTACTGCGTTTATACTAGAATCTTAACTGTATTAAGGTAATAGTATTATTGTATACAAAATAGGTTATATTTTGTTCTTAGGCAGCTCGAGCCCATAGGGAGAAGTAAATTAGTTGACCGTAAATAATAAGTTTAGTACCCCTGCCACACAAAAAGTTAATATATTTTGATTAAATAATACGGGATTTAATCAGCTCGCTGTTTTGACTGATTATACGAGCGTCGCAAGCTGATTTGCCGATCCCATATTGTCATTCGATCGAAATTACATTAATTTTGATTCAGTGACTGCACGCGATAACATCGCTTACATGATCGTAAGTGACACTGTCGAGCCGTGTCCGCGTTGGCTACGTCTGTTTGATTTTTAACTGATCTGTATTGCTGTGTCCAATCACTGCGTGTCTCACCATTTTGTCGGAATATTTCTGTATAAAATATGCATGCATTCCTACAGCAATAATTGCGTGACTCAATATTTTCTACTTAAAACAATCACATATTTCTATAGACGTCTTCTATGCATACCACGTGCCATTTCGTATCGATTATTTAGCGGTGTAATGTTTTGCCCGTGTAATAAAATGTTCCTATGATTCGTTGCAATGTGCAGCTTTCATTTTAGCTAACAAGACACGCGTATGTGACAGAAAGTGCGTTACGACGGTCGATCCACGCGCATTGCCTTCGCTTCGACGCGCGCCCTTGATGGCCTTCCTTTGCGACGTCACGAGAAGAGCGCTACGGCCTTCTTCTCTAGGAGGTGTTGCTGGAGGCCGGAGGAGGAGCAGGAAATTGCCGCTCCCTTTCTCTGTGCACTACTGTGTCAGGTGTTCTACTCTCTCTTTTCAGCCATGTCGCGCTGCCCGGCCGGCCTTTGCGGAAGACAGTGGGACGCGCAGCTTGTAGGAATACTGCGCTGCGTGTAGGACTGCTTTTGCATTCGTACACGTAAGCAGTCTTAAAGGGGCCCTGCAATCATATTTAAGCGTCCACCTTTTTTGCGGTTTCCACGTCTCTTGGGGTTCGGGCAAGCCAGCGGGCACGGAGAGGGTAACTAAATATCAGTACGTTATATTTTAACCCGACTATACACCAACTCAACTCTCCTACGTCACGCCGCGGTGGTGGCGCGCCGGACGCACTTCCGGTCTGGGGCGGTGGGCAGAAGTCGCCGTGCCAGACATGCATTCCTGTGTTCCTTGGAAGATACGAGACAAAAAACCTGCCTTATCGTCAAAATGCTGCGACGGGGGCTGTACCAAGAAACTCTGGAAAGGTTTGAAGATCAGTTTTCATGTGTTTCTCCCCCTCCGTTCGTCCGAGAATGTGGATAGTAGCCGTGAAAAGGGCAAACCAGACGCTGTCGAACTACGATTGCGTGTGCGGACAACACTTTGTGGTCGCCAGATGTATTTGCTTTGTTCCAACATAAACGAGAGAAAACCGCCAAGTTGTCCGGACCACCCACGGGTTCAGTGCGTCTTCAAGTTCACACGGCCGCCTGATCGTTCGAACTTTCGTCTGCTCTTTCAAACTTGTCTGCATTTTGTCGTCTGCTCGTTCAAACAAAAGCGGCCCGTCGACCAAACTTTGACCCGGTGATTGCAATAAGAAGTAATTGCAGGCCTCAAAAGACTTAAGTAGGCTCAATGTAAACAGTAGATACAAGATGTTGATCATTGGTACCGGTGGCCATCACCGACTTGTTAGGCTTGGTCTGTTCCCGCTTCCGATTTTCAGTATCGACGTCGATCATCGCCGTTACCTTCTAAACTTTTGCAGCACGAGCGACGTCCCGACCGAAAATAGCTAGAAGAATCTCATGGTTTTGGCGTCCATTCTGCGGGGTTCATGCGAATGAATCGCCGCACATCAAATTATTTACGGAAAGTTTAGCGGCATAACGAGCCTTGGTAATTTCGCTCAGGCGATTCAAGTGGTAAGACGTTTCGATGAGGACGTAAAATCAACAATTCCAACGCGAAAAAGAGTATGCAGACTTACACAGACGCCGAGAACGTGACATTCGAATGGTTTGTTGACGCGGGACGCGGTGCTTCTTGCCCGCACTCTATTGCGTATCCGTTCGAACTGTCGTCTGCTAGCTCTTTCAAACTTGGCTGCTTTTTGTCGTCAGCTCGTTAAACGACAGCGGCCCGTAAACCAAACGTTGACCAGGTAAGAACTAAGTGCAGGCCTCAAAACACTTTTGAAGGTTGGTTGGGGTGAGTAGGCTAAGTGTAAACAGATACAGGAAGGTGTTGATCGTTACCAGTGGCCATCACCGACTTGTAATGCCCAATTCTACTTGCTGTTTTCAGTATCGACGTCCACCATCGCAGCTACGGTCCACGCTTTTGCAGTCCGAGCGACGTCGCGACTGAAAATAGCGAGCAGAATCTCATCGTGGGAGTCGGGCTTTAGCGCCCATTCTGCGGCGTCCACGTGAAATGAATCGCCGCACGTCACATTATTCACGCAACGTTTTGCCTCGTTAGTTTTTCTGAAGCCGCTCAAGTAGTCGGACATTGTTGGGAGGACGTAGAATCAACAATTCCAACGCGAAAAAGAGCACAAGGACTCCCACCGACGCCGACAACAACGCAATTCAATGGTTTGTTTATGGGCGACGGCGGGCTTCTTGCCCACCATCCACCGCGCATGCGCGGCGCCGGTGGCGTCCGCTAGGGTCGCTCCGGTTTGTTTGTAAACATGAGTTGGTGTATAGGCGTAGACTTTGGGGGGTCATCGGGGCTCGTGCCCCCCCCCCCCCCCCCGGCCCGGTCCGATATCCTTACCGAGACGATGTTTACGTGCCATGTAACGATCTTCTATACTCCGTTTCACCTTATGTTGTACCGCAGCGAAGGCTAGAAGCGCGAGCTCACAGCGTTGGCAGATGCCCTTAGTGCACGAGAGCTTTTGCCACCGAGATGTGCCCTAGAGCAAGGAGCTCGCGCTTGTAGCCTTTGCTGCGGTACAACACAAGGTGAAACAGAGTATAGTAGTGACAGGTAAACAAAATAATGCCCACGTTTTCGAAAACCGGAGACGACGGACGAAGAAGGGGACAACACACAAAACGTCTCAACGATTGAGACGTCTTGTGCGTTGTCCCCGTCTTCGTCCGTCGTGTCCGGTTTTCGAAAATGTGTAACATCAACCAGCTCGCCTGCCTACTTACTTTATCTTCAATAACGCCCACGTTGCCTTTATTGACAGAATACTTGGGAAATGGAATCCCAGCGTGCTTTCGTTAGCTTCAATCTCCAGTTCTGGAGAAAAGGTAACGCGCAACAGCACCCTTCCTCTCCTCCCTCCCTCCCCCCCTCTCCTCCCTCCCTCCTTCCCTCCTTCGCAGCGTTCGCTCTGCTAAAGTGGAAAAGGGTGGGAGGATCTTCCACCTTCTCCCATCGGAAAAGAACCCAAATCGGTCAACGCTCTCTTGACGCGGCGTACGCCATCTGTCGGCAACACTTCTCTCTACGCGCGCATCTTCTGCGAAGTGGAGACTTAGATTACCCAGAACAAGTTTGTTTATTGTTCTTTTGAACGAAGTAAGTTCATTCCTCGATTTTTTCAATGTAAACTTCCACCGGCAGCTTGCACCTGTGTAGTAAATCGCAGCACGATACATTGAGAAACCGATTTTCGCGGGCTGCTTAAAGTGCCTTAAAAGCGTTAGTTTACACGCTGTGGGTCATGAAATCGGGACTAGCTCATCGCGCTCCCGCAAAGCTCTCCACTTTTTGCACTCTAGCAGAGCAAACGCTGGAAAGAAGGGACGAAGAGGAACTCTCATCCCCTCCAGCGTTGTGGAAAGAGTGGACGAGGGCGTTGTGGAAGAGCTTGTCCAACGGCCTATGCGCGGAGAAGCTGAGGGAGTGGAGACACGAGCGCACGGGGACCTCGGAACGCAGAGTTTTCGTAGACCTAAAGTCAGAAGCCCTTATCTGCCCTGCACTCGTCGAACGCGTTAGAACGCGAAAGCCAAACACCGCGGACGCCTGCGTTCTAATGTGTTCAATCGGTGCAGTGGAGATAAAGGCGCTAGCTTTAGGGCTACCCACTAATCACTCCCACCAGAGCTCGGCGTTTCGATGCCTCTGCAAGCTCTCATCACCTCCTTCCCTCAGTTTCTCGGTGCATAGGATTCCTGTTTTCGGAGTTTATTTCTTCCAAAACTAGGAGGGTTTCTTTTTTTTTTTTTTTTTTTTAGTTTTTACTGCAGTGAAACATTAATGTTTATCTGAATTTCTTTCGTTTAAATTATAAGTTTTCCGAAATTCGGAGCTTCATTTTGCTCCATCCCCAATTTCCCCACATTCAAACAAAACAGAAAATATCTGTACTTCCAGTGTCTTTGAAACTTGCAAACAACAGTTCCCTCACTAGACATCCTTCAATATAAATAGAAATGCTGACAAGTCTCAAAAGTTACCGGCCATTCCAATATCGTAAAAATAAAGATTCTATAAATTGACAGGACAAACAGTTTATCATGATGACCAATGCAATCCTCACGGCTCAGCAAGGGCAGTAAGTAGAAGTGAGCAAAGACCGGGGAATTTTATCCTAAAAGCGGCGAAAGGCGCTAGAGAGGCACTAACGGTAAACAGATCTGTGGCTAGCCCATATGACCTGGCACACGAGTATATACGTGAAGAGGCACTAACGGTAAACAGATCTGTGGCTAGCCCATATGACCTGGCACACGAGTATATACGTGAAGAAATGATACATGCATGTAGATACATATGTGTGAGGATTAAGCTATTATGATTGTTAGCATTAAGAGTATTGTCGTTTACTTGAGGAAAGCAGAAAATCCATCCGGATGCAAGTCGGTGACGCGAACTTGGTTCTTCTCGGGCAGACTTCCGTAGAACATGGTTTCGAAGACCTCGTTGCGCATGGCAAGAACCATCTTGTGGGCCTTGAAGCTCTTGGGTGGGTCGGAGCCATGCTCCACCAGGAACTCAACGTCGGCGTGCCTGCCCTCCGTGAAGAAACAAATGTCGTCTCTCCTTGGTGCTGCGACATTGACTGGCTTCGCCATCTGAAACGACATTGTGCAGCCACGTACGAGTTACAAATGCGCCTGCAGCCCATTCCACATCCTCCACCAGCCAGTGTTCCTTTGCAATGAGCAATTAATTGGCTACCGAGGCGCACGTTTCGCTGACGTGAGTGGGAACCGGTGCGTATACTGCTCACCCGCAAGGACAAGACAGGCCAAACGCGGACAAAGCACATCTTAATCTGAGCAGGCGAGGCAATCGAGTGATCCTCCCTCGCAGGTCCTGGGCAGCGCCGCGTTTTTTCTTCCACAGGCGTATACATGTCACGTAACACGCCACGGATACAGCGGGCTAGAGGTGCTAAAGTAACTCTAACCTTCTCTAGCAAAAATCTGTTTCTCAAGCTATGGAGCTAAGATTTACTAGAGAGGTGCGGTTAAAGGTCCCTGCAATCATATCTAAGGGTGTAACTTTTTTGCCATTTCCACGTCTCTTGGGGTTCCGGCAAGCCAGTGGGCACAGAGAGAGAGCAACTAAATATCGGTTTGTCATATTTTAACCGGACGACGCGGAAACCTCCTCCACCTACGGGGTCGACCCGCAGTGCCGTAAGCGCGCGATATGTGACGCCTTTGGTCCTGTCGTTACTACTGGTCAGAGCCGCTAAAAGCTTTTTTTTAGTCGAAATACAAAATATAATTGTCGCAAACCGTTTCAATTATCTATGAAAGTAGTTTTTGTTCAGTATTTTAGATCAGAAAAGAAACAAATGCAGTTTTTAAAGTACGGAAACGAGAAACGACTCGTCGACATACCCGCCACCAAGCGGCGGAAAAAACAGCGCATACTAGAAAGGGATACTGGGATGAGGCACGCACGAGCAACAAGCATAGAAAGGCCCCGGATGTATGCGGTGGCGCTGCGGTCGTATACCGGCTCGAGGATCTGACCGGTTCCGAGCCTTCCGAAGGCCTTCGGCGCAGATGTGGCTGCCGATTTTGCCATTTGGCGGTATGGCAGCGCGAAGGGGCTCCCGTTCTGAACTGATCCTTCCCTGTGTTTGCGGTCATTTGAGGCCAATGAAGTGTTATGCCGAATTAGTCTTTAATTGCGCAGCAAATGCAATGCGAGCCGCCCTGGCCACCCGCTTCATTCAACCTACCCAATGCTTTAGTGGTGCCCTCTCGAGCCGTCGACAGGGAGTGCGGCTGCCGTGAGAGCTCAATGAGCTCACTACCCCTCCTTTAGTTCACTGCCACTCAAGCAAAGACCTAGGACGTCATGAAGGAGGCTATTTTATGTTTGTTTTTGTAAGTTTAATTTGCCTATACCTTTGAAAATAAAGCGAAATTCGAGAAAAGAGAAGTTTCATTAAGTTACTACGTTCAGTGCGCTCAGGTTCGGTGCAAATTGAAAACAAGTCGAGAAGTTGTTGCAGGGCGTTAAGCAACAAAAGAACTGCAAAGGTTAGAAGGGAGCATGACGCTGCAAGAATGCTCCACGAAGGTGCGCGCAGAAGCAGCTTGCTCCTGCTGCGAGCAGCGAGCTTCCTCGCATAGCTCATGCTGAGCCAATGAAAGTGGTTGTGATAGAACTTCCAGCGCACCACCGGCGTAGCGTCGGAGCTTGGGTTGTGCATGGCGGGGGTGAAACACATCGGAGTAGGATGCACACCCTCGCAGCACCCTACTCTCCTCCAACACGCAGTTTTATCAGTTTCAAAAGGCATCCAGGAGGCGCAGCATATGTATTGACGGCCTAATTTACGATGGTCACGAGATCCGCTGTTCGCATTTCATTCGAACCCGATAGTATGGCGCGGCTCCAAAGATTAGATTAAGCAGAATCAGTGTGAGGTAAGCGGATTGTCTGAGTGTTAACAAAAAATTGAAATTGAATTGAGATAATAACATCAAAGATGAGGTGCTTCCATTGGAAGGTTAAAAGGCGCAAACTGAAACGGGATGAAAACAGACACACGTACGACATGGCACTAGTTTCAGCGACGGTGTCACCGCCCTGGCGGCCGGTGGCCAAAAGAGAAGGAGGGGGATAGGTTCGCTGGGCGTTGGCTTCGTGTAAATGTGTTGGCCGCGAACGTAGGCTTATAAACTTCGGCAGCAAGAATATTACGTAGCTCTAATGTTCCGGTATGAGCAACAGAGGTGCCACGATCTGCTACGACTAGCTACGACCACCCGCCGCAGCGATGCAGGCATCGAAGGAGCGCAACCTGTGACCTGTGTATTACGCAGTCAATCGCCGTCGCCCGACGATGATCGTTTGGCATTCAGGGCTTTCCGCCCTGGGTTCTTCGTTTGTACTTGGAACCGAGTATTATTTTCTGTGCTTGTGTATGTGCTCAGTGGCTGAATATGGACCTCATAGAGCAGTTCTTCAGACTCAACAGCGACTCAAAGTTGACGGCGGAGGGGCTTGCAGCAACGCTTTCGGTTGGTGCACGGGTGTGACGACTACACGGATAAATTTTAAGATTGCTGCTAGCAAGGTGGGCCATAGTCGCTTTATGTTGACACGATTTTGAGTGTAAGTACCCCGTGCAAAGGCGAATCTATTGCGTTTCTAATCCGCCTTTGTTTTTGTTGTTGTTTTTAGCACGCACGACCGACTGTTAAGCAAATGCTTCTGTACCGATCACGGAGTGAATGTCTTCGGCCTTACATTGCGGAACGCCCAATAAAAAGTCATATTTGTTCAGCGAGAAAAGTTCCCTTTCGAGTGACTTTCTTTGATTGATAATTTCTCCCGTACTTAAGTGCTTTAATCAACACGATTGATTAAGTTTGCTTCCCTAGTTAGGACATTTTTGTGCCACATGCGGCACTAATGCTTGGCACGATGTATGCCACTGGTGGTATTGTGAATTGGTTTACTTCCAAAGCTAACAGTGTTTCAGGTGGGACCATTCAATTTGCTAAAAATGTGATATGGGAATACGTTGCGCCACGTGACTAGCTTAGTTTCCGCGAATGCCACCAGTCTAGCGCTCCCCGGAGAAAGCCGCACGCGCGTTATAGACAAGCGTGATTAGCACTGTACGTCGAACGAAGTTCCGCCCACCTCTTTTCGTCGATTAACTTTTTTAGCGAACGGCATACCCATATGTGTCAGCGCAGAAATCACATTTGGGCATGATAGTGGGCGACTCCAATGATTAGATTAAGCGGAATCAGTGTGAGGTAAGCGGATTGTCTGAGTGTTAAATAAAAATTGAGTTGAGGTAACATCAAAGATGAGGTGCTTCCATTGAAAGGTTAAAAGGCGCGAACTGAAACAGGACGAAAACAGGCACACGTACGACATGGCGCTTGTCCGTGTCGTACCTACATGTCTTTTTATAGCGAAGCTGTTTATGGCTAGGGTTCCGTGGATTGCTCATGTGCGTCAACAAAAACTCGCACCGTTCTCTCTTTGTCATTCAAAACGCTTGCGTGCCTAGTTTCTTCCGCTTTCCCGGAGTGGCGGTCCCGTTGCGCGTGTCTACTTTCCGCCGGTTCCTCGGTGTGGCGACAGTCGTCCACGCGAATGTATATGAAAAAGAGAAAGACAAGTTGTCATTCTCCATTTTCAAGTTCACTTCTCTCGTCGTAATGGGGAGCGCGTCTACGAAGTCTGCGTACTTTTCGTCACAATGACCACCGATCAAGACAATAATTATGTTCGTACCAAATTTGTTTAGAATTCTGTGTCACGTCTGTGTAGTGTGCTAAACAGCTTCACTGGTCATCCACCTTTAGTGGAATGGCTCATGATTTTTTGTCGTGTTTAAGTTCACACCTTTTAATTTTTGAATGGATATGTACCAACTGCGCCCCAACCAAAGTTTCACTGAGGTACTTCCCCGCGAACTATGTTGCCTGCGAGCAATCGAGCATCTGTCTATTTTGGTCGGTGCCCGCAGTAGAGGTGTTCAGCACTTATATATCGAGAAAGGGCCCTAGACTAAAACGCCGTTCGACGAAACTATACATCGTCGAGGTCACCGCACCTCCCCTTCTCAAACGCCACTCGCAAAGGTAACAGATTGAATTCCGTGTCAAATGAAAGGAACAGTTTCGCACCGCACTCACCCGACATCCGCGAACCCGTGGTTCCGATGAATTCAGTTGCCACGATGTCGCAGCCGCACGCCCGTGGAATCCGAAACTATGTGTAGCCTGCCCTCTCAGGTGTTCGCGACGGGCCCGTCGCCGCTTGCGTAATGTCAGATAAGCGAAAACCCCTCTCTCACCTGCTTTCCCTCCCGCGCCTGGTTTAGTGCCACTTTGGATGTCCGAAGGATGGCGAGATGGATACGGCCCTATCAGCGGCACTGAACAGAGCAGCCAAATGCGATATAGCCATAGAGCGATATAGCTTTGCCAACACTAGAAAGGACTGGAAATGCTGGAAACTTCTCGGAGAACCGATGGGAGCGGCGGCGAAGGCGAAGTCGAACTAACGTGAAAAAACATCAAGGGACTTTAAAGGAGCTGTGCAACGATTTTAACGTTGAAAGAATTGGCATTTTCTGCTTTTGATATTGTTCACTGTGTCACAAATGGCAGAAAACACACCTCCTTTCATCGCAATGTTGCGATTCCGCCGCGTAATAGCGAGGCAAAACTTGGAATATTTCCCGACCTGCAGCCACGAGCGGCGGCCATGAGAAACAAGCGGCGTGACGTCACTTGGGTCGTTGTAAGAAAGATAGCAAGTTGTGCGAATACCTGCTCGATAAAAGGTAACTCTTTTTACAAATCTTGTCGTTCCAACATATATATAAATGCGTCAACACCCTGGTATCATCCACAAAACTTTTATTATACGGAGTTTTAGTGGCGCCATCTATCCTAGGTCCACAAAACCGCGAACAGCCGCCAGAAGCCGGAGGGGGAGGGGGACAGCGCCGGACGGGCAAGGACGGGTGGTCACGCGGTCGGCAGCGGATGAGTTCTCGCTGCTCGCTGATGGCTCTAAAGAGAGAACTTTTCCGGAACTCCGCGCCTACTCTAGTGACGTCACTGTGCACGTGACCCGGAAGACGATGCACGAGTTGAGAGGCGGCGAAAACCTGGATCTTTTTCATTTTTTTAAGTAAAAACTAGGGTATCCAGGCAAAATCTGTTTTCTGTAGTTCACTGCAGAAGTGTCAGGCATCAACTTCCACAATTATTTAAGCAAAGCCCTGAAATTGTTGCACAGCTCCTTTAAGTCGAACCTGAGTCGAACGTCACAGTGGCGCCTCTAGCGGACTCGGAGTCTACGGAAGCAGACGACGCAATGAGCTTTGCGAGCCCCGTTTCGTCACCCCAGCAGCTGAAACAGTTCATTACGGTCAGTCCGCTTGCAGAGCAGAATGCCCTGATCGCAACTGCAACGACAATCAAACAAAAACGCGCGCAGAAACAAAGATAAAGCAGTTTATTTAGAACTCTCAAACGCCACTCGGAGGATAATACGCGTTTAAAGCGCATATGGGAAGCGGGGAAAAAAAAAAAAAAAAAAAAAAGCGTCTAGCTACTCAAATTACGTTGTGAGAGGTTACTGTTGATCCGTTACAAACTGCGTTGTCACAATTTTTTACCTGAATAGGTGATCATTAAAACGTGCGAAAATACGAGAGCAAGCGCACCAGCCATTGGAGCATAACAAAATGAAAAAGTAACGAGAAAAATGACCGTGCAAATACTTTCCGAACTTTGCAGGAAATATGAATTCCCCATCCCAGGCGAAAATAAAACATAAAAAAAATGGGGAACAGTCGTGAACAACGGTGAATAAAACAAAGTTAGCAGACGACACAAAGACACAAGTCAGCCAGCAAAGAACTCCTTCAACGACGACGGTCGTTGTGGTGCTTATGCAAAGAAAAATGGAAAGCAGCTGAAGCTCGGGAATTTCTATATAGGAGCATTGAAAATGAGCAGGTAATGATCGCCGTCGGTGTTGAGTCCACTGCAAACAAAGTGGAAGCAACACGACGAAACTAATCATTAAAGAAAAGAGCTTCACTTTTTTCTTCTTTTAGCTGCTTGTTACACGTACGTTTGTTTGCTTTCGCGGCGTTGGTAGGAACTAAAAAGAAAACAGGGAAAAGAATAACGTAGTCCAGCTCTCACACTGCCCGGTAACGAAGATGCGCACGCTGCAATTCACTACCTGCTGGCACTCTGTGACCTTTTTGGCTTTCGCATTTCTTTTAATTCCCAGCGACTTTGGCAGGTTTGTCGTTTACTCGTTTGACGAAGCAGCTCAAAAGTACATTCAAGTACTTGATGTCCAGCAACCTTAGTCCACCGTATCTTTCTTTCGAGTGCCGATCAGCTGCTCAAGTCCGCCTCCAGCTGAACTCTTGGCTGTTGCAATATATCAGTGCAGTGTGTGTCGAAGGCACAGCTGTTGTTTGATATCGCAACGATATCAAATACTGGGAAGAAAACGACAGAGCGGTGGTGTTTTGTGCCGGGGTGCATGCAGCATCGGATACAACGTGCATGCAAAGAGAAACACTCCTCGCTTTAAACGCCCAGCAACGCCTCTCTGTTTGGAGAATGGGATGGTCCGATTCTAAGAAAAAATTCTACTGAGTCACGCAATTGCATTTCTTTTTTATGGGAAAACTAAAACTGGTGCAGAGAAAAGATAGAAGTCGAAGAAGAATGAGTGACCTGTGTGACATGTGCGAGAAAACAAGTTTCTTAGTGGGATTGTTCATCAATAATGTAAGCAGTTGAAGTTGCACCATATAGCTTGCCAGTCTTGGTGTTTATTTTCAGAGGATGCATGCTCACTAGATGAAACCAATTCAGGCATTTCCTATTCTGTAAGCTCTGACTGAAAATACAAAAGTAAAAAAAACAACTCGAGGTACATTTTAGCCCTTCTTATGAGTTGTGAATGCGAAAGCATGTAAGACGCTCGTCCGCTCCCTTTGACGTCTGCCGCGTACTTTTTGTCGCCGGTCAGCGCGCGTGCTGACCTTGAATCAGCACGCTGATTAGAGTTCCTCGATAACAGCGTGTTGAACGCTCCGTGTTAACGGCGCGCTGATTAGAGTTCCTCGATATGCTCCCGCGAAGGGGGAGCATCTACCATAGGGAGCTACATACAGGAACTCTAGCGCTAATGGACACGTAGCGGCATGGGGTGAGCGGTCGTGGAAACTGACGAGCACGGCGGCCAATGGGAGCCCCGTCGACGCGCGCCAGCCAATGGAACCGAAGGATCGAGGAAACTAGATGCGGCAATGTCCGACACATATTGAACTTTTAAAGGAAAGTTCAGCAAAGATTCGGCAAACGTCTGCGCACGCGCGAGAACGCGACGGGGCCATGGATTGCAAATGGACGTCGTGCGGTTACCATTGTACAGTGTAGTACAACCAGCGGTTACGGCAAGGTGCTGAGTAGGCGTCATGGTAAATGTGTGTGTGTGTCAGCCTTTGTGAGTGTCGTTGTCTAATATTTTCTGCCTCAAGAACTGAAGATTGACCAAGAATTGATGCAGTCGACTGCGCATATGACAAATGATACGGTATATCTTGGATGACGTGGGTCAAGTATCTAAAGCACTGCTCGCTATTATAGCAATCGTGTTTCCGGCTCACAAGTAGTTTGTTCCAAAGGAAAATAATATTGCGTTTTGATTTGCATTATTTTGCGATTTTTATATATCAGCACAAAACCAAACACAGAACGTTCATGCTCGATGTTCCACATCCGACATGCCTAAAGCGCGAAACACATGTACGACGAAACCGTCCGATCCGACGTCCGTCCGCGCAATACGACGGTCGGAGGCGAGGGTTTTCGTAGCATCGGAGAGCGTTGAAAACCCTCGCCTCCGACCGTCGTATTGCGCGGTCGGACGTCGGATCGGACGGTTTCGTCGTACACGTGTTTCGTGCTTTACTCTTCGCATCTTCCTAAACGTCTGCGTGTGTCCTAATGTCAAAACCCGGCATTTTAAAAAAGTAAAAAAAAAAAAAAAAAAGACTGCGAATATGGGACAGGCACTTTCATGCAAAGCTGAAGCGACTCAAATAGGAAAACATGCATATTTACAATAACATTGTTCTCTCTTCTGGTGGAGGCTCCAGCAGCCGTTCCATTCATTTTCGCACACGAAACGGTGACTGCATTACTGCATTCTATTGTATATTTCATGCATAACTTAAAGTTGTAGAGTGTGAAGATTTTCATGACATTCAGATTGCGAAAAAGGGGTTCTGTGTGAAAGTCATAGCCGACATCGCAAATTATTTTTACAGCTTTTTTTTTTGCAAGAGATGCATTTTTTGAAGGTTCAGTCCCTGTGGTCGTCCCCCAAATCAAATGACAATAGTTTAAATGGGAACAAAATAATGACTGGTACAGAAGTAGGGTAACACTGAATGGAAGAATATAAGAATGCCGATACATTAAACCTACCACGTGACTTAGTTTTGATGTGATGTGGTCGACGTGAACGTCCCAAGACATATGTTCGGAAAAATACACCCCTATTAACTCTCAACGTCTCAAACAGTACGTGGCTTGGGGGTCTACACTTTGCGTTCTAGCCGTCTTCTGGAACAGAGCTTGTTCCAGAACTTGCAGGAGCGTCAAAAACAAGAAGAGGGCTGTTCACCTTCATACCGCTCACGGGTGTACACACTTGCAGCCTTGCGCTGATGAGGTCTCAAAACCGAAACTCACGCATCATGGCGGTGGCCACTACTACCCAACGTCGTTGTCGCACCACCTCTGCAAGAAAGTCGCTGTAAATTGCCAGTAAACACACAAAAAGGGCACCGATACAGTTATCTTGTAGAGTATTACCTTATTTAGTAATAACTGTGTCAATATGCATTCAAAAAATAAACCTAAAACATGTTTGCCCCCCCCCCCCCCCCTCCAAAAAAAAAGAAAAATCCGCGCCAAGAAAAAAAGTTTTGGGTGTCTGTGGTAGTCAAGGTTGGTCTCGTGCAGCTGTCTGTCGGGAGAACAGCGAACTTTGACTTCACTCTGGATCCAACGCCGCGAAGGAGCAGTGCCACTTGCACAAGTGTAGGTTTTCGTCGTATTTCGGAGGGGGGGGGGGGGGGGGGGGGTGTTTTGGCAGTTTGGATAATATTAAAGGGGCTATGAACCGATTTATCAACATTTTTTTTTAGCTTTCCTCCTCAACTCAGAAGTTTCGCAACGTTACCAAACAGTTCAAGAGGAAGGAAGGGAGAAACTCTCCTCTTGCTCGGACCCTCGTTCGTGTACCCGGACGTCGCCATTCTCCCCCTAGAAGATTAGCCCGTCGCACAGGATTTAGACACGACTTTCCAGTTAGAGAGTGTCTAAAAAAATCAGATTGCACGAACTCCATTTGGAGGGACGGAAACGAAGTCA